CACACCTTCGTGTGTGGTCTGGAGATGAACAAAGGTTGTATAGGTTTGGAACAACATTAGGGTGAGAAAGTGATGACAGAAATGTCAGTTTTTAAGCGAACTATGCCTTTAAAGTCTCAAAAATGTGTGCGTGTATCCCCAAGTGCAAAACGTAGATGCAAAATACTCATCAAAAATAGTCAGAGTGAACCCTGCTTCATTCTGTACAGACATGTTTTGCATGAGCATGTCTGCTGCTAGACGTTGGTGTTTGATGTCAGTTTGCGAGTGTGTCTGAGGTGTCAGAAGTGTGTCTGTTTGAATGACATGTGGTTGAAGGTGTTTTTTCCATTCCAGCTCATGATACTCACAGTTTGACTTCTACTTTACAGAAAACAACTTAAAAAAAACACTGCTGATATAAAACAGGTTTAACAGTTCAATAAACCATAAGTTAATATTTATTGACAGTTTTTGCCCTATTTTGCTAACAAAAGTTAAACAAAACAGAAGAGTTTTCCAATAACACAGATTGGTGTTTCATTCTTGAATGATGCAGTGTTTTTTAACAAACAGTCAAACTGTCAATGATTAATGATGAACTGTGAAAATGATGAACTGTCATTCACCCGTTTATAAAAACTGTCACTTGCTTCGTTCATGAATTAATCAGCCGGTTTGAACCAACACGGAAGTGACTAAAACTGCAATTCATCGACTGGCCGCTAGAGGTTAGCTCCTAGACTCCCCATGTTAAAATGCCCAACTTTACAGCAGAAAAAAAATAAATGTTTACAGCCTGGTACAAAAAGTGGTTTTGGTCTATATAGCTGATTTTGCCCTTCATGACAACTGTGAGGGGGGTGAATTTTTTTTCTTTTCGATTATCCGGGAGTGACGCGCAGTGACGCGCTGCCAAGATGGCGACGGCCAACTCCGCCCACTTTGAGCTTCAAAAACGCTCTTCAGAAACCTACGGGTGACGTCACGGACACTACGTCCGTCTTTTTATACAGTCTATGGTTTGAATGAATCAGATGACTTGCCTTCAAGACTTGCCTCAACCTACTTGCAAATTTCTTTATAATCAATGTTATTTTCCACCAGTTCATTCTTACACAAGTTTCCCAAAGGATTTGTGCAACACTCAAAGATATAAGAAAACGCACACATAGACATAGTCCACAATTAAACTCAATTCATACAGCAATTCAACGGAACAATAACAAACAAGCACCGTGCTACATAAGGTATATATATATATAGCATGCATGTATGTATTTATGTCCCTCAAACTCCATACCACCATGTTAAATTGCTGCTATTTGACATTTAAAATCTTAAGCATATGCCTGAAATCACATGACTTGCTAGAAGTGACATAATTTCCTTGGAGGGAAAGCACCTCTGAGAGCAAAGATTCAGTCATAAACTTTTCTCACATTTCCTCATTTTAGACGAGTTATAGTCTTAATACTGTAAAACATGGCATGTCCACCCTGTTGTAATGGCCTTCATTAGCTTAAACCTCTACTCTGTTGCACAGTGCAATGTAAAAATTTAACAGGGTGGACACATTTCTTATATGAATGTCTGCAATATAACAAAGAGTGAAAAATTTAAGGGGGTCTGAATACTTTCCGTACCCACTGTATGTGTGTCAGAAATAATAGGTTATACTAGTCTGAGTTTGATCAGCGTATGGAACACCGACATTTTCTCCCTCTAACAAGACCCTCTCAAAATCTACCAAATTGTATGAATAACCCTTACATATTTATAGTGAGCACCAAACAAAAGATACATCCAAAAAAAAGGGAACAAAGAGTGTCGCCAAAATAGAGAACCAAGAAAAACCGCTAGTCAAAGCTGAAGGCAAATGATCGTATAAAAACAAAGCAGTAATGGCAAGTCTTAATATTCTAGAATACAAACACATCAAGATGAAACAACAGATGATATGATGCATTATTGTTTACCTCAGATGCCCCACAGGTCTTCATCTGGCAATGGCAACAAATGAAATTAAATAACTTGCTAGCCAGATAAAGTAATCATCACTTCATGAAAAGTAAATGTTTAGCAGTAGTGAATTATTTTCAGTTTTTAATGAATGATCCAGCACATTTAAGGCAGTGGCTAAAGGCTGCCAAGAATGTCTCCATTTGGATGCAGTGTTTCTATGGACGCATTGATTTTATTTATTAATTTTTTTAATGCTCCTAAAAATTCAATATACTGCAGCTATTGCAAGTCCACACGACCGTAAGTGGGCCTTACCATCATGTTTATGAATCTGCGTGTGACCGTTTCATCAGTGTACATCAGTACACTGTTAATGTTTACATGCCTGTTTATTGTGTTTAAAATCAGCATATGCCACATATATCCCTGTGATTATGGTTACTACAATTATCAGCTTAATTGCATCAATTTGATCTTAGCATTGTGTTTACATGAAGTAAAGTTTAGTCATTGATTTGTCAGACCAGCAGTGCATCAACAGGCAGTATGGTGGAAATTACAAGAAACAGTACAACTGTAGCAGCTTTAGTAAAAAATCAAGCAAAAGAAAAAAAATTATAAGCGCTTAATTATAATAATTCAGTTTTTGCTGTGATGTTGAGGTGAAATGTGACTGGAATTGATACCATATACTAAAATCTTGGTTTCGTGATATTCTCTGAGAGCCATGAAAGTTTCTGCTGATTCTCTTCTCATGTGTCTTACTTTTTCTTCATTGTCTCTTTCAGCTAAAGTCAAAATAATGTATGATGTCACATTAGTGTCTGATTAGCAGCCTCAGTCTCATTCCCATCAGGTGATGTCTCATTAGCAGTATTCAGTATGTCAGACGGATTAGGGGACGAGTCTTTTAAATGAGTCTCCTGTAATAAATCACAGATTCACATGTAAATGATGATGATGATTGGGTTATAGAAACACATGGTGCTTTTTCCAGATGTTTGCTAGTTGCACACAGGGTTTCTTTTCCTAAATAATAAACACAATGTTGGACTTGTGACCCAAAGGTCACAGGTTCGAGTCTCGGTATCGGCAGGGATTGTAGTTGGGGGGCCAGCACTCTCTTCTACCTACAAATACCACGACTGAGGTGAGACCCTTGAGCGAGACACCAAACCCCCAACTGCTCCCTGGGCTCCGCAGCAAAAATTGGCTGCCCACTGCTCCGGGTGTGTGTTCACGATGTGTGTGTGTTTGTTCACTACTCAGTGCTGTGTGTGCACTTGGATGGGATAATTTCGAGTATGGGACACCATACTTGGCCACACATTACTTTAAGTTTCACTTTCACTTTCAAATACAATGAATCTTCAGTCTGATAAACTGCATCACAGTGTGATCTTCTGTACTAATGCAATATTTGAATAACAGTGTCTGAAGCATAACGTTTAGAATATCGCAAACTATTTACGAATAATTTTGATGGTTCTATTAAAAGGAATAACAAATATAAAAAAAACAAAAATTGTCACAAATAATAAATATCAAATGTCACAAATAATATGACTTGTAATTTTGCATTTGAAAATCCACATTCATCTTCCTAAACAACATGCACATCTAAAGTGCTTCAAATATGCTCACAGAAGTATCTCACCTGATCACTGCACTGCCTCCTGCTGCCTGTTTGAACAACAACAAACTCAATTAAACACATTATTTTGGTTAATTAGGATAAAAATACATCTTTTTACATCTTTCAAAGATTGCTTTCGAGCGATTTCTATCTTGTTATCTGTATGCGATACAAACCCTTCCTTTTTGTTTGAAGCCTGCCATAGTAAATCACACCAGCGGCTGCAGCAACAAGCAGCAGAACACAAACACATATTCCTGCTACAGCAGCTGAAGACAGGGCAAAATCTGTAATGATAAAGACAGACAGTCATTATTACTAGAGAGAGATAATCAGTTTTACTGATATACATCTTTTTACTTTGATCATCAGTTTTAATTATTGATTAAACTTTTGGCAGTAGTGTCATTTTAATGTACACATGATGGTGATAGAGATGCTCTTAATCATATTTTAATACTGAGTCAAAGCTCTCTTTTTCACACTGGCAACAATGCAAACATTTTCTAAACATTTCTAATTGTATTTTAAAATTATTAAAGGTCAAAGGCCCTGAAGGACTTAATTTTATTTACCAAAGACAGTAACAAAAAGTGTCATTAAAATACCATCTCATCACAACATTTAGGTTTTTGGTTAGACCAGGATCTAAACTGACAGATTGCCCCTCCACTACAGACTTGGTCTTCTTTTTATCTCGTTGAGCAGCAGGAACACCTGAAACACAAACCAACAGCTGCTGATGAAAAAAACCTGCATAACCTGAGAGAACTTTAAACATGAATGCAATTGCACAAACCTTTCTTGACTTTGAATCTGACAAACAACATTTATCCAAGTTTTATACTTACAAAACACATTTTACATACTGATTTTACATTAAATACTCAACTAAGAGAAGCTGATCAGATATTATTTGATGAGAGACTGTCATTGTTTCAGAGCACAACTAACTGTTAAAACTAACAACTCAATCAATCCACAAATAAATCTACAAAATCCAAATTAACAATAAATGTGTTTTAAAGAAATTATCTATATAATTTATGTGAATATACAGGTAAGTGGAAAAACACATAAATGATGTACTTAAAACATGTATAATCTCCCTTTTAACATTTATTAAATGACTCACCGTGAACAGCAACTCTGGAGATCTTTGAATTGCTGCTGCTGCTGCTGATTATCACTAGTCTATAAAGTCCAGAGTCTGTGGTTCTGATGTCTCTGATGGTCAGAGATCCAGTCTGATGATCCAGCTTCAGTCTGTCTCTGAATCTCTCTTCACACTGATCATCTGTACAGATCTTACTTTGATCTCCAGTGATTTCAGCGATGAAAGTGTCATTAAAATACCATCTCATCACAACATTTAGGTTTTTGGTTAGACCAGGATCTAAACTGACAGATTGCCCCTCCACTACAGACTTGGTCTTCTTTTTATCTCGTTGAGCAGCAGGAACACCTGAAACACAAACCAACAGCTGCTGATGAAAAAAACCTGCATAACCTGAGAGAACTTTAAACATGAATGCAATTGCACAAACCTTTCTTGACTTTGAATCTGACAAACAACATTTATCCAAGTTTTATACTTACAAAACACATTTTACATACTGATTTTACATTAAATACTCAACTAAGAGAAGCTGATCAGATATTATTTGATGAGAGACTGTCATTGTTTCAGAGCACAACTAACTGTTAAAACTAACAACTCAATCAATCCACAAATAAATCTACAAAATCCAAATTAACAATAAATGTGTTTTAAAGAAATTATCTATATAATTTATGTGAATATACAGGTAAGTGGAAAAACACATAAATGATGTACTTAAAACATGTATAATCTCCCTTTTAACATTTATTAAATGACTCACCGTGAACAGCAACTCTGGAGATCTTTGAATTGCTGCTGCTGCTGCTGATTATCACTAGTCTATAAAGTCCAGAGTCTGTGGTTCTGATGTCTCTGATGGTCAGAGATCCAGTCTGATGATCCAGCTTCAGTCTGTCTCTGAATCTCTCTTCACACTGATCATCTGTACAGATCTTACTTTGATCTCCAGTGATTTCAGCGATGAAAGTGTCATTAAAATACCATCTCATCACAACATTTAGGTTTTTGGTTAGACCAGGATCTAAACTGACAGATTGCCCCTCCACTACAGACTTGGTCTTCTTTTTATCTCGTTGAGCAGCAGGAACACCTGAAACACAAACCAACAGCTGCTGATGAAAAAAACCTGCATAACCTGAGAGAACTTTAAACATGAATGCAATTGCACAAACCTTTCTTGACTTTGAATCTGACAAACAACATTTATCCAAGTTTTATACTTACAAAACACATTTTACATACTGATTTTACATTAAATACTCAACTAAGAGAAGCTGATCAGATATTATTTGATGAGAGACTGTCATTGTTTCAGAGCACAACTAACTGTTAAAACTAACAACTCAATCAATCCACAAATAAATCTACAAAATCCAAATTAACAATAAATGTGTTTTAAAGAAATTATCTATATAATTTATGTGAATATACAGGTAAGTGGAAAAACACATAAATGATGTACTTAAAACATGTATAATCTCCCTTTTAACATTTATTAAATGACTCACCGTGAACAGCAACTCTGGAGATCTTTGAATTGCTGCTGCTGCTGCTGATTATCACTAGTCTATAAAGTCCAGAGTCTGTGGTTCTGATGTCTCTGATGGTCAGAGATCCAGTCTGATGATCCAGCTTCAGTCTGTCTCTGAATCTCTCTTCACACTGATCATCTGTACAGATCTTACTCTGATCTCCAGTGATTTCAGCGATGAAAGTGTCATTACAATACCACGTCATCACATCATTTGGGTTTTTTATTACACCAGGATCTAAAGTGACAGATTCTCCCTCCTCCACTGACTTTCTCTTCATTTGATCTTGTTCAGCTGCAGAAACATCTGAAACACAAACCAACAGCTGCTGGAGGACCCTTTTTTCGGGGAACTACTGTATACATCACGAGAGAACTGTGGACATGAAAGTGAATGCACATTCTCAGTCTGGACATTCAGAGTGAAATGCAACAATTGTGCATGTATTGTGCTTATAAACACATTTTACATACTTATATTACATGAAATCCTCATTTAAACAGCTGATAATAAAAGGTGATCAGAGATGACTAAAAACGTCTCAGGTTACTTGTGTAACCATGGTTCCCTGAGAACAGACCGGTCAGTGAAGACGAAGAAGAGAATGATGTGCGCTACCGGCGCCTATTTTGTACTAGTCGCGACGGTAGTGACGTCATGGCTGTCGCCGGCCAAACAAGTTGGTGTTTTTTCAATGTAGGCTTCAGACACGGGTCACGACGAGGCGTTCCCCATAGCGACCCCTAGAGGACGCAGTTCGAAGTTCCACGAAAGGGAACTGTTAAGTCCACCAGAGCACAACAGCAGCTTCTTATAAAACTATCAGCTCATCAATGAAAATAATTTAGTTTTCAAATTAAACTGTTCTGTTTAATAAGAAACAAAAGAAACAGACAAACAAAAAATCAATTAACACTTTAATATGATTTAAACATATATAATCTGCTTCTGCTTGACTCATTTAAAGAATGTTTCATAAAATGACTCACCAAGAACAGCAAAACTGAAGATCTTTTCACTGATGCTGCTGTTATTAATGACCTTTAGTTCATATTCTCCAGATTCTGTGGTTTTGATGTCTCTGATGGTCAGAGATCCAGTCTGATGATCCAGCTTCAGTCTGTCTCTGAATCTCTCAGTACCTTCATTACACTGAACATCTGTACAGATAAAACTCTGATCTCCATTGATTTGAGCGATGCGAATGTTATTGCAATACCATTTCATATCTTCTAGGTGGATTGTTTTAACACCAGTCTGTAGAGTGACTGAATCTCCCTTCATCATGGTCACTTTGTCTGTATCATCGCTAAAAACACCTGGAGAAAAAAAAATGAACAGGTAATTATAAATTATGAGCGAGTACATCATGAATTAATCTTCCAAACCGCGTTTTTGTCTTATTCCGAATCACTACGGTACACTTATAATAAGTACTTATATTTGGACTATTGTAGCCTGGTCGGGTCGTCACCGCTGCGGAGTAACACATACCTGCGTGATTCGCCATAGACATAAACTTAGAGAAGTAGCTCCGGTTGGAATGTTCTTCCGCGGAATGTGTGCAGTTCTGTTTATTAACCGCTAGAGCGCCAAAAGTTACATAGTGCTGCTTTAAAGTGAAATTACTGAATCTACACATAGGAGCCTGATAAAAATGCTCATTTTATAAGAAAATTTCAAACAGCACTTAGAGGCATTTATATCTGAACCCTTCAACTCTTCTTTTTAATTATGCAAATGTGTCATTAAATCTCTACAAATGTATAAAATTGATCTGAGATCAGGTATAAAAAACACAAATAAAAATAAAAACAAAAACATAGACACTAGGTAAAAATAAAACTAGGTAGACGCTTCAAATATTTCGAAAAAAGCTATAACATAAGAAAGCCTTGTTTACTTAAATCATGTGACTTTGGCAGATTGATATGCACTCTGAACCACTGGTTCCAAACAAATCTTTCACAAAGGTTTTGAAGCAGCCTTCACTGGCCAATGGCTGCCCAAGAGGCCGTCTGACTGTGAAGCAACCAACCACAGGTTGTTTTGTTCATTGTCATTTTCATTGTAAAAATGCACTCTAAAATCTCTGTTGTATATTTAAGACTGGAACAGTTTATATACACTATTTTTTATTTTATTTTATCTTTACAATCACTTTACAATCATGAAAACACTTTACAATCATAAAATACACACACACAAAAAAGCAGTAAATGATTTGGGATGTGAAAGGGGCAGCAACAGCAGCCAATAGGAATCTGTGGGAAGAAAACTATGAGTAGGATGCTCCAGTTCATTAAATGAAAATCTTATATATTCATGAAAGTTACATCAAAATCAGCTTCACCGTGCCATCTCATTTGTCAGACATTTAAGTTTCAACCCGTCAACTGCATAATGTGACCACAGCTGCGCGCATTAGATCAAGGCTTCAACGTATCAAGCATGCTGCACAATCTCCAGAAAAATCCTGTATTGGGGCGTGTATTGGTTTCACAGAGTAACATGATTGATGACAAAAGAAATGTGTGTTCGTCTTGAAGTGCACTGATTGATCGATAAGTTGCGTTCACGCTACAGGTGTTCAGCTTGAAGAGGAAGCAATAAGTTTCAGTGGTTCATGAGGCTTCATTTCCTTTTAGACATATATTTTTTTTTTTTAAAGAAGAAGTGATCTACTGTAATTCTCTATTAACATCAGCGCCACTGAAACTGTGCCACAGCACCATTTGTTTTAGCCATTTGAAAGCAACCAGTGTCGGCCCAGATCTGGGCCAACATTATGTTGCTGTCTTTGCTTCTCAAAACTCCAGAACTTCACATTTTGTATGTCTCCCTTGTCTGACACACCAAATTCAGGATTTGCAGTTTCTACTAATTGAGCTGATGAGTTGAATCAAGTGTGATAAATGAGAGAAACATACAAAATATGCAAGTGCTGGGGTTCCTCCAGGGCAGGTTTGAGAAGCACTGATTTACAGGAAATGAAAGTGTAACAAAAAAAAAATAGATTTCTTACCAGACACAAAGAATGCAGTTAATGTGAGAAAAATAAAGAATATCATTTTCACAACTTTTCAACTGAAATGAAATTAGTCCAAATTCTGTTAAAACCAAAGTGTTTAGTGTTTAGTCCTTAGTCCCTGTGTCGACTCCATTGCCATGAAAACTGAAAGTAAATTTCTCCGCTCACTGCAGAGGCCAGTGGGTGGAGCCTAATGTCCATCTCTTCCTCTCTGGACCTAATCATTGGAACTAGAAGGTCCAGCCACACCCTAACACTAACCATAACCTTTTTTTATTATTATTTTTAATTGAACAATATCAATTTACAAACTCAAGTGGGGAACAATAAAATGCATATGAAAAAAGTACACTTTTCCAATTACATCTCCATAATACATAAATGTCCATGTGTGTGTATACATTTCTACATACAATAACTACAAACAAAAAACATTCTTGAAACATTTCAGGGGGTGCAAGAAAAAGAAAAAAAAGGCACAAAATCTTACCAGTCTTAAAAGGAAATACAAGGTTTTATACAATTCCCCAAGGGTTTAATTATGTAAGGAATAATTGACGACGGGCCGTTAAATTCTTAGAAATGTCGGGTGTGCATTATTTTCTAAGAATTCAACGGACCGAATATATAATTAATTTCTCATCCATCTCATCCAACGCCTCCGTTGCTAATTCCAAAATGTCATTTTAGACATAGTAACGGAGGTTTGAGTATTTGATAGCAGACTAATGCAGTTAATAACTAAGTTATGAGAGAGAGAGAGAGAGAGCGAGAGAGAGAGAGAGAGAGAGAGAGCGTGCGTGTGTATTACCTCTCTGAGTCTGTCTCAATAAAATTTAATTTTGTGGCAAAAACATGGAAATTATCTGTCATTTGTATCCTATTGTTTACTATATTTATTTGTTTGGCTGTTATAAGCTGTAAGGACTTTGAAATAACTCAAATCATTTGGCAAGGTGATATGGACATGTATTGCAGTCAAGAGCTGCCTGGAACTACGTTCGCCAACTTTTGATAAGTGTTTTAAAGATTCTAAGTATTTTTTGCATTCATTTTTATAACAATTTAAAGAAGGTTTACTGTTATTCCACTTACTTTTGTGTATATGATATTTACCCATGCATTGTAATAATAATGTTTAACATCAATGGCATATTTTTCGAAAGACCATCTGCATAAACCAAAACCTGAAACAAATTTAGTGATGGAATATCAGTATTGATAAAAAAAAAAAAAAAAAAAAACTGAAATAATATTCAGGACTTTTTAAACTATAGATTCATCTTTTAAAATATTACTGTGTGTCACAATTCACACTGGGAGCAAGGAACGAAGAAACAAGGAGTACTTGAATAACAGTCTTTAATAATAATAATAATAATCCACAGGAAAACCGAGAACAAGGACATTCAACAAGTAGACCCGATAAAACAAGAACTGAAAGGACTAGGGCTTTTAAAAGGCAGGATAATTGAGAAGGAACGAGACCCACCTGGAATCAAATTAACACAAATCAACATGAGGAAGAAACTGGGCCACAGGGGCAAAAACACACACAGAGTAGTACATAATCCTGACATAACACCCCCTCCCGGAAGGTGCGTCCTCGCACCGTAGCAACAACAGAGGGAGGCATGGGTGGGAACTTGGGAGGAGGTTCCGGATGAGGACGGATAATCGGGAGGAGGCCGGCAGACAGAGACCAGGGGGCGACAAGGAGGGAGGAACCAGGGAGGAGACCGGAGGGACCCGGAGCAAGAGGAGCACAGCAGGACCCAGGCCACAGCCATGATGTCGACCCATGGTGGAGCAGACGGCGGGACGAGCCATGGAGGAG